TACTTCCGGTCTCTGCTAACTCGTGTGGCTAGTTCCAGGATTTTTGTGTGTTTGCTTCTTGTACTGCATGGCTCCCGTTAACTGTAAGCCACATTATAGTGTTACCATAACAGATAACTCTGGCTAGTTAACTTACAAGAGTAAAGGCTTAACTTGGCTGTCAGTTTTAGAGGCTGCACGGCCATGCTGTTTTGATCCTCGGGAAACGTGGTGGCAGCACGTGACTAAGCACATCTCTTACTTAGTGCGTGAGAAGTTAGGATAGTAAATTTTCGTTATAAACTTTATTGGATTGAGAGTCGTCTAGGAGACACCTCTGTGTGTATGTGTCTTTGAGGGGTTTCTAGTTTCTAGAGAGCTTTCATTAAAGAGGGAAAATCCACCCTGGATGTGGGCAGCACCATGCTAGGGCACAGCATCATCATGCTGCCCACTATGGGCTGGGGTCCTGGGCTGAATAGAAAAAGGAGAAGGAAGCCAGTTGAGCACCACCGTTCACCTTTGTTCCCGAGTGCACACAGTGTGACCAGCACAGAACAATTCTGCTCTCATATGCCTCGACTGACATGATGGACTGTTCTAGTTTGCTCTCTGTTGCTGCAATAAACACTGATGAGGAGGAACAGATTTATTCGGCTTATTCTTCCTGACAGAGTCCATCATTGAGGAAAAGTCAGGACAAGAACTCAGTCAGGAGCAGGGGGCAGGAACCATGGAGAAAAGGGGCTTTCTGGCTTACTCATCTAGGTTTCTTCTACAGCTCAGGCGTATCAACATAGGTATGGCATAGTCCACATAGGCTGGGATCTCCTACATCAACAATTAAGAAATTGTTTATAGACATGCTCATAGACCAATCTAGTTGAGGCAATCCTCAAATGAGACGCCTACAGATAACTAGGCTGTGTCAAGCTGACAGCTGACGCTAACTGGGATGACTGTATGTCTTCTAAAGATTATAAAGGAGAATAAGCCCTTCCACCGTTTGCTTTGTCAGAAATGTTGTCACAATGAAAGAATTAAGGAGGAGCAAGAGAGGAAGAGGAAGGGGTGGGGAAACACGTGTGTCCTACAAGACAGCATCACTTACGGTTTCCACAACTTTCTAACAGTGTCATGTGCAGATGGGTCTTGGCAGGATGAAGGATTCCAGATCCAGACAATGGCATCCACTCATCCTCTGCAGTTTTCACAGAACCACCTGCAACATCCAGTCGGAAACCAGGGATCAACGGGACTGAGTCTCACTCTGACCCCTTTCTGGTGTCTAATGTTCTTCAGAGCCTCTAATGTACCTCACATGGCTTAACCCAGGCACTCTAATCAGTCGTCACTAGCTTCCTGAAGAACGGAGAGGGAACAGAATGCATCTTCTTGTTCTTCAGACCCCACTGGTACTCCTTGAGGATCATGAGGTGTCGTCCGCTTACCTTCTGTCTTGCTCACTTTCCAGTCACCTCTCCTCTTGCATAAATGGTTCTTATGTAAGCTGTAGTGTGTATCAGGATGAGTTGGAAAGCTTGTTAAAATGCATTGATGGAATAAACACCGGAGGTTTCTGATTCGGTGGTTCAGGTCGGGGTCTCAGAGAACTGCCAAAAGCACATAACTTCGGGATGCCAGCTCTTCCAGGCTAGAGAGGCTACAAGCCTTTCTCCAGGACCAGCCACCAGTGCCTTTGTGTGTTTGGGTAGACAAAAGTAAGTTGTGCCAGGCAGTGGTGGCGCACGCCTTTAATCCCAGCACTTGGGAGGCAGAGGCAGGCGGATTTCTGAGTTTGAGGCCAGCCTGGTCTACAGAGTGAGTTCCAGGACAGCCAGGGCTACACAGAGAAACCCTGTCTCGAAAAACCAAAAAAAAAAAAAAAAAAAAAAAAAAGTTGTTTCCTGTGACTCAGCAGAGTGCTCTTTCTGGACGACTTTCCTCAGTCAAGGAGTTTGCATCTTTGGCCTTTAGATTTGGTTTTAGCTGTTTGAGATAGAAATTCACAACAGTAATCAGCACTGGCTGGCCTGAAACTCACTATGTAGACCAGTCTGGCCTCCTGCTTGTGGCAAACAGTCTACCCCTCCATGACTCCTGAATGCTGAGATTAAAGATGTATGCCACTGTATCCACCTTGAAAAATGTAATATCATTTACTCAGCAAATATTTACAGCCAAGCACTATTCTAGAAGTCTGGGATAACACATTGAATGAAATAAATGTCTATTCACATAATGCTCGTCTCATACACACACACACACACACACACACATACAGACATAGACACAAACTTACAGACCCACACACTCACAGACACAGATAAACACAGACACACAGTCACAACACACACTTACACACATATACTCACAGACACACACTTACAGATACACACACAGACACACACTCACAGACACACAGACAGACACATACAGACACACACACAAACACACTCACGGACACACAGACACATACACACACAGATACACACTTACAACACTTACACATACCCTCACAGGCACAGACACATACTTACAGATACACACAGTCACAAATACCCACTCATTCACAGACACACACTTACAGATACACACACAGACACATAGATACACACCTACAGACACATACTCGCACACTTAGACACACAGACACACATACACAGACACACAGATACAGACACAGACATACACACTCACAGACAGACACAGACAGACACACACATACACACCATGTAAATAGGAGTTGGGGATAAGAGACAATAATTGGGGGGCATATTTAGAATATACTGGATATAAGTTATGGAAATTATCAAAAATAAAACCCAGCAATTAACAAATGTCACTTTCAGTGGGGAAGGGATGTGGTTCTTTAGTACAGCATGTAAGACCCTGGGATTGTGTCCCACACCCAGACCTTTGCTTGCCCGTATTCTACTATTTACTAGTCCAGCTCACACATTTAAGGGAACACAGGAGTGTCACAGGATTTGTGGCTGCTCATGGCTATATATACACACACACACACTCATACACACACACACACACACACACCCTCTTTGGGTAAAAAGAAAAGACAAATTAGGTTAACAAATAACAAATTGAGAAACTTCTGCACAGGAAATGAGAAAGTTAAAAGAATAGGAGAGGAAAAAAAAAAGCTTCTAACTGTTCCTCTAACAGAAAGTTAGTTTCAAGAATACACAAAGACAAAGAATGGTTGGAGAGCTGGTTCAGCTGGCATGGGCATCTGCTGCCAAGGCTGATGGCCCAAGCACAAGTTATTCTCAGAAACACATGTGCCATGGTATACCCCATATATCCCAAGAAGAATATACAAGACACAACAACAACAACACACCACCATCTAAGAAGCGTCTCTTGCAGCAGAGTTCATTACAGGAAACCACAACTGGTCAAAATGCAGAGGGCAATGGTATGTGAGGTGCCCAGCCCCAATCTATACACTTACAACACCATACGTACACCCAAGGCTCAGAGAAACACTGTAGAAAGAGGGGCTGGAAGATTGTAAGAGGCGGAGGATTGGGATAGCACAGAGGATCTGCTTTGAGATCCTGTCTTATACACACAACAGGGAAGCAGACCCAGGAAATCTCGGCAATGTGGTTGCCCAAATAAACCTAATAAATGACATCATTTGACATGCCAAAGTGGATGGGCACAAATCTCACAAGGCTCTACCCTTGGAAGAAGAGCTACATGCAATTCATGGTTGCTGAAGGAGGGAGAAGTATTTCTTCAGCAGGGACAAGACCACTAGCCGGGTGGTGGTGGCACACGCCTTTAATCCCAGCACTTGGGAGGCAGAGGCAGGCAGATTTCTGAGTTCGAGGCCAGCCTGGTCTACAGAGTGAGTTCCAGGACAGCCAGGGCTACACAGAGAAACCCTGTCTCGAAAAACCAAAAAAAAAAAAAAAAAAAACCACTGACAAGTTAGCCAATCCCAAGAGGTCAGCCATATATGCATATGCATATGTAACAATTATAATTAAAGAGAAAGATGCTGTGAATTTGAAGGGTGGGAAGAATTAGAAGGAGAAGAGGGGGATGAGGTAAATACAATCCTTACTCGTGAAATCCTAAAAAAACAAACAAAAAAAAAATCAGTTAAAAAAAATAACGATAAAAAAAGTAAAATACAAAATCAGCCCAACAGAAATGGTTAAGAAAAAACATAGCATTATGAATGGACAGTTTTTTTCTTTGTCTTAAACAACATACAGTCATCGGTGAAACCTGAAGAGTCATGATCTATTATAGGAAAAAAAAAAGAATGCAATCATATCATGACTGTTTGTTAAAATGCGTACTTGGGACAAATACCAAGAATTAATATTCTAAAAGTATATTGTTTTCAGAGAGGGGATATGTAACTTCAGTGATAGCTTCTCCCAGATTGCTTTAGTGTCTGTAAGATGAGTTAGAATCTGAGAAAAAAAGAAGCCATCAAAACTTTCTGTCTTGACCATTGGAACATTTATCATGGCGGTGTTTCTTTCTGATGGAGCCATTTTCAGTACTGCCTTTCTCAGTACTCAGTTTTAACCTTTTATTCTCCTTTCAATGGTTTGAAGAGTTAATTCTACCTGTCCCTTTTTTTTTTATAATAAACTGGCCTAATCCCTTTTGAAAGTGGAAGGATTGAAGACAGATGACTATAAAAGTGTCATTGATAAGAAAAAACCAAAAGAGGTTGGCTCTCAGGAGCCTGAGGGAAGGAAGATTTCTACCTCAAAGCCAGCCTAGGATAAATATTTTCAACACTCAGACCCCCCCCCCCAATCCAACAAGCAAAACACTTTCAATATAAGAATGATACAAGAATTTCCATTTCAATAATGTCATCAAGATGAAACATAGTAGCTTTTCCTCTAAAGGAAAAAGATGCTGACATGTGATAATCTCTGTGATGACTTCATGCTGTTTCTAGATGGATCTCAAGACAGGGTCCCAACAATACAGATCTATTGAGCTGATCCTGAACTCATCACAGAGGGCAGCACCCTTGGACCCTAGAGCAACAGAGGAAATCGCATGTCTTTCTTGTCGAACACGTTATCCAAAAAGCTACACTAAAAGGTAAAATCTTGACATAGCACTCATAGGAGAATATGGGAATTCTGTTGATAAGTTTCAGCAATACAGTATCCCTGGGTTCACAGTCTTGGTCCTGTAGCTGATATACTAATGGGAGTTCTCCACATGGATGACATTTATAGTTTAAATGACAAGCAAGTATCCAACTGTATAGACCTGACAGAAACAGATAGATATGCAGTTGGCTTAACAGATGGTAGACTCATGTATTTAAGAAACACAATGCTGGCTTGAGGAATACAGAACATTTCTTTGTATTAAAATATATTGAGCCAGGCCTGGTAGCACACGCCTTTAATTAACCATAGTACTCATAGGCCGCAGAGGCAGATGGGTCTCTGTGAGTTCCAGGTCAGCCTGGTCTATAGAGCAAATTTGAGGACAGCCAGGGCTACACAGAGAAACCCTGTATCAAAAAAATTATCTATCTATCTATCTATCTATCTATCTATCTATCTATCTATCTATCTATCTAACTATCTATCTCCCTCTCTGTCTGTCTTACAAAATAATGGGTTTCTTCCTGACATCTAGGCTGTCTCTGTGCATGTCACTCTCTGTGATCATAGCCAGCAGCAGCTTTCTGGCACTTACTTGCATTAGGAAAGGGAATGGGAAATAGAAACGGCAAAGAGCACAGCAGGATATTAACAGTGTTCATTTCTAGTGTTTGCTACTTTTTGGTTGTTTAGTTAGCTTAGGCCAGACTGTGGAGCAAGCCTCCTTGAATGATACGTACTGTACTTTAAGGATGGAAACTTCAACCCTGTATTTACCATACTAACTTTTTGAACTCTCAATCCTGGGAAGTCAGAGCGGCCACACACATGACAGGCAGCTGGAACCCTTACTTGGAAAATGAGTTATGTGGCTCAGTTTCTTTCCTCCTGTTCTCACCTGGCGGGGTGTGGAGCTGCCATCTTACAGTGTCAATCACACTTGGAGATAGTCATTTGTAGCTGTCTGTCCCTTGATTATCACTCGCAGAGAGCCCCTTAGTGGTCCTCGAGAACCATCCCAAGTGGGTGCTCTGCTCATCTCTGCAGGTCTCCAGATTCCTGGAGAGGTGCTAAGCCGCAGCTCAGCTTACATGCATAGATATATAGGCTGTATCTGTGCTTTTTGTAGATGAGTTAGTTCTTGATGGTGTAGAGATTCCTTCCCACTGCTGTTAATCTCTAGAACTCCAATGGAGAGACTCTAGAAACCCAACTACACATTAAGTGGTCAGGAAGACACTCAGAGAAAGGCAAGGGAGGTCCCCCTTCCTAGATAGCAAAGTAACTGGGTCACCTTTCTTCAAGGTACTTACCCTGCTGTGGGTGCTGTGGGTCATGCTGATCAGGAGTCTTATGGGATATCTCTCATTACACGTATGGAACTCACCAGAAAAGATTAAAAATAGAACTATAGCAAAAGCCTGGGAAGGGAGGTGTTCGTGCAGCCTGAAGCAAAAGAGGTAGAAATTTGTGTGAGGGTCGATGGAAGAAGAAACTGTGGGAATTAGTCATGTGACAGATTTAGAGATCACTTCCAATTCACTAGGTCCTGCTCTTGGCTTGTAACCATAGCAATGAAAGTATGAGCGGTGGGCGGGGAGTCTATCCCGATGGCAGGACACAGACTTTTAACTATTTCCTACAACATATCACGTGAACAATGAAATGGCAAGTACATTGCTGATGAAAATATAAGAAGGTTTGGGATAGAAATGAGGTAGCCCTGATGACCATGCACGTTGAAGCTCCACCCTCATTAACTTCTGCTTTGAATGTGTATGAATTGTTTGAGAAGTTTTCTGGAATCTGTTGTAGCGAGCCCGTTATTCCTGTGTTTGCCATAAACCCCTGGCTGATCTGGTCTGAGGATCATTTACTGAGAAGAAAGGGCCAGCCTATTTAGCATTGTAACCTATGGCCGGCTTTGAACAAAAGAGAACTAAAGGGAAGGTCAATGCTGTGTTCTGAGATGCATTTATTCATGAAGGTGCCAACTGTCGCTAGCTGGCACAGTCTGGAGTTAGCCTTGGCTTCCTGAGTCAATGTAAACTTCTGTCTAAAGGATGATGAGATACCTAGTCTTGGTTGTCAAGTTGACTGGATCTGGAATCAAGCAAGAGAGAGGCTTGTGAGGCAAGGGTGCTTTAGGTGGTCTCTGGAGGAGCTGACTGAACAGGGAAGACCCCCTCACAGAGGCATCCCAGTGGAGGGACCTGGTTGTAAGGAAGTTGGAGAGAAAAACTTTTACCTTTTCCTGACTGCCTCCACCTCTTGTTGGTGAGTGAGTCTACTCTGTTGGTGCTTTATCCTGCCACTGTTTTCTGCTGAAATTGGGCCCCAGATTCCTAGGCTTTCAATGTAGACTGAAAGCCAGTGGCTTTCTAGGGATTCTCTAGACCTACAGTATCAGATTGAATCTCCCAAGGAACCCTACTCCATGAACTGAGCAACTACTGGGTTCTCAGCCTTCCCAGTGTTGAGACAGTCATTGTTGGACTATCCACCACAAGCCAAGCTAATAAATACCCTTTGTAACATATATCAATTTATCAGTTTTGTTCCTCTGGAGAATCCTGATGAGTGCATATAGATTTGAAGATGTTGCCTGGGGAAGAGGCATTAGCCTTCTTTTTCCTGGCCATGATGGTGTGAGCCTCTTCTTCTCATTACAATGAACCGGCAGCTCGTAAACACTGAACCCCAAGAATATTCCTCCCTTTGTTTCTAAGTGTCATGTTCTTTCTCACCAGCTTACTCGATGACCATGGAAGAAATCTTCTACGCAAGGGCTTGTTTACTGAGCTTACATATATGTGTCTGAGTCTTTCTCCTCTTCCTTCCACCAATAAATACAATACCACTGTGAAAGTTGGCATGACTGACTGCATTTCTGCTGTACCATCAGTGCACTTAGCATGGAACTGGCTGAGTAAGTCATCACTTGCTTCTGTGTTTGCCCTGTCTCGAGCTCCACAGCGCTCAGATCCTTCAAGAAGCTGGGAATTTCATCAGCAAGAAAGATTTAGTATAGTATGGTTGGGTATACTGGGTGTGTCCTGAGGCAATGCACATAGCACAGTCTTCACTGTCCCAGTGTAGGGACTGAGGTGTGATCAAAAGCTCTGGAACAAAGCTAGCTTACACAGAACCTTCTACAAGGCTGATTAACTCTTTAGCGGTGGGGAGGTTGGAGTGTTACATATTGCAGCTTGTAGCTTTTGCTACCCTACTTTAACGCTCCGAGAACGGGGGCCATACTACCAGCCCCCATCCAGAGAAGCCTGGATCCATGGATGAAAAAAACACACACATGTTGATCTGTTTCAGCTTGCCTTATCGGCTCAATTGTTGGGTGCCTCCAATCTCCCGCTGCTAGCGTGCCCTCTCCGATCTTCATCACTTTTCAACCTGCCCTAGCTTCCGTTACCTTTAGTCCCAGCTTGACACCCAAACCTCCCTCCGGGAGAAGCGGCCTGTGGCCCTTCCGTCTGAGATCTCACATGATTGGTTGGCTTTTCTCCCTCTGAAGCATGGTGAAAACCTTCTTTTCTCTCTCCCTGTGTCTGCTAGCTCGCCTGTGGGGACCCAGAAGTCCTGCCTTTTTCCTTCTGCCCAGTAATTGGTCCATAGCATCTTTACTGATAGATCAAGAACTAATTGGGGAACAGGACCTTAGCATCGGAACCACCCCTACAGCAGATCCAGAGCCTAATTACAGTTTATTTGGGGGCTATCTTTAGCCTCTCATTAACCATTTCTTGCCCAGGTATGTTTCCGAACAAACATTATTGTGACTATCAAGTGTGTTTTCATAGTGATTAACTTAGCAGATAACTGGCTTCCTCTAACCCTGAAACTGATACCATACAGCATCTGAAGGCTTAGGACAGAGATTCTTCTGCTTTGCTGTAGTCTACCTATCTGCTCTTTCCATCAATGTGTTTGAAGAGTGTCTTGACTTCTGATCATTTTTGTTCTGTTTCCATAAAAAAATCATGAAATGGCTACTCTATTGGAATATGATATTTGGGGAAATCAAAATTGATGTTTCTGTACCATGTTCCTTTGTATTTGATTCTAGAATAAGCTAGGCCTTTTGACTCTCTGCTGTGAATATTGTTTTATTTCTTGATATGGAGCTCTGAAGCCGGATGATATGGGGTGGAAGCTGGATGTCAAGTCTCAGGAAGTCAGCCCATGGTCCCTCTAAGTCTCTAGAGACCTCTCCTCCTGGTCCTTCACCGTCTTTCACGGGCTGCCTCACACCCAATCCTAGTATGCCTGTGTCCTCCCATCTGTGGACAGTTTCCCTAGATGCTGCCATTCTTAACATCTGGAATGACAGAGGCCACAGAACAGAATACTTTGGGCCTAGCCTGAGTTAGAGCTATCTTCTCTCTAGCCACGCCCATTGCACCATAAAGAGATAGAATGCTAGAAGAATCCATCCCAACATTCCAAACTGTGATGTAGAAGGCACTTCAGTCCTCAACCCCCTGGAGAAACAGTACAGTCTGGATGCTAGAGGTTGGGGGAACTGTATAGAGTATCTGCTTGTATTGAAATTGTATTAGGGAGACAGAGAGAAAGAGAAAGAGAGAGAGAGAGAGATGAGAAAGAGGAGGAGGAGGAGGAAGAGGAAGAGGAGGAGGAAGAGAGGAGAGAGTGTGAAAAGATAGTGTGTGTGTGAGTGTGTGTGTGAGAGAGTGTGTGAGTGAGAGTGTGTGAGTGAGAGAGTGTGTGTGATAGAGAGATTAGATAGATAGATAGGATAGTAGCTAGAAGAGGTCTGTTGACCTCAGGGTAGGACGTAGGGAGGTAAAGCCCTGTTGCAAGAGGACATGTGTTCCCAAAGGCTGGACCCTCTCTTTTTGAAAAGTAGCAGACTACAATATATTGGGAGCAATGAAAGATCGCTGGAACATACCTCTAGGTTGACCATTGGACCTAAGGCAGTAACCCTGTGCATTAAAGACCTCAGGGTTGTCCCAGGAAGTGGACAGAGTCTGGATAATCAGCAGCATAGACAGGCAGAGCTGCCTAGCACTTCTCATGGCAAGAAGAAACCAGATCGTCTTCCATGCCTTAAGAACTGTGCTAGCAAGGACCATGCCCCTGACCCTAAATTAAGCTTGTTGGTAGTCTCTAAAAGGATCTTTCAGGGTGATTCTGTGATCGAAGGCCCAGAGTCCAGGCAGACATTTGTTGGACACACTGACTTGCTGAAGAACAGCCCTGAAGCAACAGCAGGGGAGGCCCAGGGGAAAAAGAGAACAATGGCATTACTTAGCAAGGCTAGAAAGCAAACAGAAAAAGCTTCAAACCCAGTAGACACCAGACAAGTCCAGAAGCAAGAGGTGGTTATGGACACTGAACACCCAAGCAAGAAACACCAGCAACAGCAACAAAAGATCCTGGAGGATCTGAGAAGGGGCTATCTGGGAGGAGGAGACAAGAAAGGACTCATACAGTCACAAGAACCTTTCAGGTACCATGAATGTCTTGCTCTAGAAAAAAACACCTTTGTGCAGGGCAAGAAGATTGAGCCCTATTCTAGACATTTGGACCAGGTAGCGAGCCCCCTATTAGTTGGAGAGCAGGAGTCTGGAAAGGAGCTGAAATCAGTGCCTTCAGGCTCAGATGAACTGAAAACCACAAAAACCACGAAAAACTCCAAAGGAAAGAAAACACAGACTCAATTCTTGGAAAGTACTTCCCGGCAGGGAAAAGAAAAGGTTATGGGCCAAAATCTGCTGGAAGAAGCCAAGCCTGGGCTCCTCAAGAGGAAGAAGATGCAGGCCATGGAGATGATGGCAAAACCTCATCGTGATAGAGGACTCCGCCTAGAAAACAGCAGAGAGGAAGTACAATTCTTTATTCAGGATGTCAAACAGGGCGCTTTGGAAAGAAACATCATAAGGCCTAAGAGATGGCCAAAGGAGGAAGGCTGGGACCACAGGGTCCAGGGAACCCCAGTTGTCTTTGCAGTTCGGGACCATACTAATCCCCCACAGGGATCAAAAGAGAGTGCCCCAAAGTCCAGGGTGAGGTTATCCAACAGGAAACCAAGAATTGTCGAGTCATAAGTGCTATGACTCGACAATGTCATATGTGTGAGTAGATGCGAATGCTTATGTGTGAGTAGATGCGAATGCTTATGAGATGAGAAGGCGGGGCGAAAGGCCAGGCCAGCCCTTGAGGGCAAGGTGGGTTTGAGAGGACAGAAGGCACAGCAGCTGCTTGCCAGGCATCTCAGAATGACACCATCTGCTCGTGGACACCAAGATTCAGGATGATACCAGAAGGAGCAGGCGCCGGCGCACTGAAGGTACTCATTTCTTCCAAATGTGATGGCATCATAGAGACCATCCAGCTTCAGGGAAGGAATGGCGCGCGACCCCTATCCCGCCCCCCCCCCCCCAATCGCCTGCCAAAGAGTTTATAAAGTCTTTGCTTTTCTCTCTACAGGCTAAGAGTCAATGGTACTGAGAGTTTGGACTGAAATATTTCATTCGAGAGACAAGCGATGTACTTAAGTAAACAAAGGAGGACCCACGAGAGACAGCAGTCACTCTCTCTGCATCCTGCTCTGTGAGCATCTCTGTTCCATCACAAGACTGAGTGAAAACTGAGGTAGATGAATGTTTCTTACTTTCATTTTTTTCCATGTATCTGTAACCCGGAAGTACTACTAGCATGGTTTAATTACCGCATCTCATACCCATGCAGGGGGTCCCAAGTCCGTTTTCGTCCCCACCTCTGCCTTGCTCCAGGGCCTCATTAATGTGTTTATAAAAAAGATAAAGAGATAAAGAGAGTATGTTCTGTGGGTGTGTGGAGAAGTATGGGGGAAGGGGATGTCTCAGTGGGCCCATGCCGAGGCATCTCTTCCCCCTGAGGGACCAGCCACACACTGGTATAGTACAGAATAGAGTTTATTCAGGGCATGGGGAGGGGGTCCAGGAGGGTAGTAGAGGCAGAGAGAGAGAGAGAGAGAGAGTGTCTCAGTGGGCCCA